ATCACACGTAGGGAAATTGAAACAGCTACGTCGTTAGGTTTTCGCTGAGCATGTCGAGGCTAGTAGAAGACAGTTATATACCGCGACTTTATGAGCCACCTAGAAATATCTTCACATTTTAGCCAGCATTACTCATTCAATCACGTCGGAACCAGTATTTGAGATTTGACTAGGAACCAAGTCGACTTAATAAATTTGCAAAAGGTAGCTCGATAATATTCAGTCCATAACTGATTGAGAATCTCTTGAACTGTGAATAAATCACATTCTCATGCTCTCTGAAATGGTGAGATTAGACATGCGCATGAGTCGTTGGTGATTGCCAAGATCACGAACTTTCGGACTTAAGGAGAGAAACGCCGCCGGCAAAAGGGGGACGTTGAACCCCACTTTTGCTGAAGAATCAATTCATCGGCCCCCCTCAGATCATGTTGTATTTGTGCCGGAATCCACCTCGAAGATGCCGCACACAAGGAGTAGAACAGGGTGCCTCACATGCCGGTAAGACCCTTTATCACATAATAATGGAATCCTGATACTGACATTGATGGCAGAGACGAGGGCTACAAATGCGATGAAGCGAAGCCTCATTGCGGCCGCTGCGTCCGCTTGGGCAAGACATGCAAGGGGTACGGGTTGAGAGTGAGATGGAAGTCAGCCGATGACCCCAAAGACGGCGGAAGAGTTACAAAGAAGAAAGGACCGAAGTCCAAAGGCAGTATTGGACCTCGGAAGGTCACGCCGCCTTCAAGCGATGAGCAGCCCGCGACGCCCAGCTCCAGTTCAATGACGGTGACTTCGGCGTCGAGCCCAGACAGTCTCATCCGGAATCCATCCTATCTATCGCCAGATATCTCGCCAATGAACCGCTACTTATTGCATCACTGGAATGGATCACTGGCGAGTGTAATATCGATGGCGTCCGGTGTACAGAACCCATTCCTCGTTCATCTCACGCCCATGATGCTTCGCTCCACAGCTCTGCTCTTCTCAATCTCCTCCATGGCGGCGGGCCACCTCGCGATCCTCCGGAATGACAGCAACCTGAAAACGCTGTCATCACGCCATATGCTCGTCGCATTGTCATCGCTACGAGAATCGATCCAGGCCGATAACCCCGAGCTCTCTCTGGCCACAATCCTGATGCTCCAGATCTCGGACCGGCTCTTCAACACGGACAGCCAAATCGACCATCTGGCTGGAGCCAAAGCCGTCATCATGCACTCGGGAGGACCTGCGAATTGGAACACCTCGAGCGCGCAGTTTCTTCTCAGTCTCTGCTTCTACCACGACGTCATGTCGTCCATTTCCCGCGCGTCGAAACCGCTGTTAAGCATGACGAACGTAGCGCCTCTCGAGGGCTTGCACAGTCTGGCTAAGCTTACTTCCGTCGTGTCTATTGTCAGCACCATCAGCAAGATGCAAGGGCAAGGCGGCGAAGCGCACCAGGCGAGGGGATACGTCATCAAAAGTAACCTACAGGAATTCAGCTTCTCTGATGAAGGGGATCCAGACATTGAGCACACGATCCAAGCCTACAAACACGCGGCGATCGTCTACCTTTATCGAGTTTGGGACGACGGAGAGTCGTCTACGAAGCCATACTACGCAGAGCAGTGTATCTACCACCTCTTGAAGGTGCCCATCACGTCTTCCTTCGTCTCTGCTCATGCGTGGCCTCTATGGACCGGTGGCTGCGAATCCGTCGAGACCCGTCTACGCCAAATGGTTCTTGTGAGAATCAGGGAGATGTATCAAAACCGGCAATTGCCTTCCCTTCAGCGAGTGCAAGAAGACATGGAAGAAGTGTGGCAGGTTAAGGATGCACAGAGGTTGCAATTTGGAACGGAAAATGTTGATTGCTGCAAGATGATTCTGCATACGCGTCATCGAGAGGCAGACTTGGTCTAGCATTACTCTTGGCCGACTATGTACTGTTCCTCTGACATGCAGACCTACACCGTCGCTATTACTTTCTCTTGGGTGTCAGTGAAGACTGTCCAAGTCCAAGACACGAAGCAATCTTGAAAAAGACATCCGTGTTGTCGTACACACCGGCAAACGTCTCCTGGCAGGGCCCCATAGCGAAGACGGGCACATCAGTCAGGGAATGAACACCAGACGAAGACGACGTCGGAATCGTGCCCGGGACAAAGAACCCATCTTCGCCATCATCGGGATTCGCAACGTACCCATCCTCACCGCTCACAGCAACCCGACGGGGCGACTCGTGAAGCTGGTAATTCTCATTACGATCTGGGTTGGCACCAAACGCAGGCGCAATAGCGTACCGCGGGTTCCAGTTGGACGGGAAATTGGGACCGGTGCCGTACTCGATGCCGTCCGGCCGGGACACGGTATACTGCGACAAGCCAGACCGTTCATAGATGCCAATCGCGTCGCGCTTCTTGCGGTCCGTGTCCTGCGCGGCGAGGTACTTTGTATCAGCGACGCCAAAGACGTCGAAGCCGTGGCCGTGGTCGGCCGTCACCACGATGAGCGTGTTCTCAAGCTCACCGGCCTCGCTGAGCTTCTTCACCGTTGCGCGGATGGTGTCGTCGAATTCGAGGAGGTCGCCGAGGGCTCTGTCGTAGTCTAGCGCGTGCATCTGCTTGTCGATCGAGGCGCCCTCAGACATGAGGAAGAAGCCTGTGTCGTTGCTGCGCTCGAGGAGGATGTCGACGGCTTTGAGGGTCATGTCTTTCAGGCCCGGGAGATCTAGCGGCGCGGAGCCGTCGCCGGAGGGGTGGGTCTTGAGTTCGGCGATGTTGTCTTTGAAGATCTTCCTGTCGAGCCAGACGGGGAGATGGGAGGTGGAAAATACGCCGAGGGCAGGGGAATCGATGGGTGCTTCGCGAAGAGATGTGGCATTCCAGCTTACGGAGTAGCCTTGCTTGCGGAATTCTTCGTAGTAGTCCTTGCCCTCGTACGACGTTGCTCCGGGGAGGAAAGTAGAGGCACCGCCGCCAAAGTAGACATCGGGACCGGGATGAGCACTCCAAGAGTAGTTCGTCATGCCATTGAGGGCTTGGTCGATGAGGGAGCCAGCGTTGGATCTAGATCTGCTATGGCCGGTCAATGCTGCTGGAGTGGCGTCGTCGAGCGCAGCTGTGGTCACGGCACCCCAGGCCGATCCCTGCAAACATGTTAGCCAACAAAGGATGTTCGGGTTCCTAGAAGGCGACTCACCCAGACGCGAACCACCATCTCCACGATCGTCTCAACCTTGGGATCGTCAAAGTCATCGGCCGATGAGTCGGAGTACACACTACAAGATAATCAATATTCGGTTTCTTCGCAACGACATTCGTTGTAAACGCACCCCATGGAGTCCGATGTGCCCTTGTGACCAGAGTAAAGTGCTGATGCAGAATTGGCGCTGTCCGTGATGAAGCTGTCAACGGAGTGTGTCTGCTCTCACATTAGCACTCCCAACGAGGTAGGTTGCCTTCTCCACCCCGTCAAAGTAACTCACCATCTGATGCCCCAAGATGGGAAACTGATCCATCTGCATCCTTGACTGATACTTTCCATTGACACTCTTGTGACCCAACAGGCGTGCAGCCGTAATCATATTCGTCGTCATGCCATCCCCAATGAACAAAATCACATTCTTGGCCTTCTTCTCCTCAGCAAGAGGACGAACAAGCCACTCTGCCAGGGTCTTCTTCGTGCCGTTGTAATAGTTCAACTCAACAGTGTAGTTTCCCGGCTCATACAGCGACAAGTGACGGTACGCCTTAGACGCCACATTCACCACTGACTTATTCCCCGCATCCTGCGCAAACAAGTCCTCAAACCACGAGAACGTCCATGTCTCCAGCTCAGGCTCCTCCTCAATCCCAAAAAATTCGACGACAGACTTGCCGTCGGGCTCGCTATTGCTCGCAATCGTGAGGGTGAACTCCGGGTCCGGTACGCCGTCGTTGAAGGCCTCGGTCCCGTTCACCGGCGCGTGGATCTCGACGCGGATGTCAAAGTTTTGGCCGGGCAGGAAATGGGCTTGGTCGGGCGGGAAAACGCATCCGAGGTCTGGGCATGCGCCGAGGCGTTGGAAGGTTTGGGCGAGGGTGGCCAAGGGCGCGGACGCCAAGAGGACCAGGGCGAGGGCGGAGGCGGACATCGTGGGATGCTACGGAGCACAGTCCACGAGGTAAAAGGCCAAGATCGGATGACACTTGGGGTGAACGTTGGATTGGCAATGAAGGCCCGTATTTACGGAGGGGCGGGAGTTGTGATATACACGAGCCAAGACATCGTGGGCGGTCGATTTAAACCTCCTCATCAACGATCACGCGTCTAACTCAACACAGAAGGTCCAAGTAATTGCCGCGTAAAGTTCTTCCCACATTCCCGGGGCCGGCATGGATGGACTTTGGGGAAGGAAGCGCGTCGGCGGGGGACCCGGCTCACTCATCACATTCTCAGCAGTAAGGAGACCGAACTTATCACGAGGATTGGGATCGGCGTTGTCCGAAGAAGTGCTGACCGACCTCCCACGAGGTGGGGGAAGCCAAGCATCGATGGCAGAAGGGTTCTTGGCTTGCAGCTTCACTGCTGCGTACCCCGCTTCATTGATGATTTCCCCTCACAGGCTAACGATAAGCACGCGACCTATTTCCTTGTCTGTCGGGGCCATTTATGAGGATTCTCAGGCGATGTTGTAGAGTTGGCTGGTGTTGTTGGTAGTGGGTGGAGGGTGAACGCGCGGGGAATGAGATGCTTCGTTGCGCCGAGCTCGAAGGTCCCCAGAATGCACTCTCGCAGGTAACAACGTTGGAGAAATGAATGCGGTGCAACTCTTTCGCGCACGATGACATACTTGGGGAATACGTAACAATTGGGTAAATATGCTCGAAAGAATAAGATACAGCGAAGTAAGAAGCGAGAAGCGAGGCTTTACTTTCAATGCTGTGCTCAAAGGGCTTGTAACACGCATCGAAACTCAATTCCTGGCGTCCCACGTGCTCACAGCTTTGGAGGAAAACAACAGTCTCAAAGGTTGATGGCTGGGAAAGTTCACACAGCTGAAAACCTTGAAATGCCAAGAAGGGGTCCTTCGCAGAGATAACGCTTTGCCCTGATTCATGCTCAACGTCCGTGATGCCAAGAAGAGCGCCGTTTGCCAAGCCTCTGATATCTGTTGTCCTGCACATAAACAAATACCGCAAACAAAACCAATCGTTCCCTTTCGCGTGATGCGTAACTCGTAAGTTGCCGAGGGAGCGGGACGTCCGGACTCAAGAGAGGTAAGCGGAAAATGTAATAGGACGGAAGGTCGGTCAATGACAGAAGCACAACGACGAACGGTTCACTTGAACGCTGCAAATGTGTCGTCCGTGACAAACCCGACCATGGTCTTCAGCCCAATCCTCGCAGCATCTAAGCAATCTCTTGCCAATGCCTCTTCGCCCAGTGCCGTGTACGCCTCAGCCGACCATTTCAACGCCCTTATGACCTCAAACGTTGTCGCCGCCTGGGTGTCCTTATACATCCACAGCCTCCCCTGCCTCACAGGCTCGACGAAGCCAAAGTTGCGGAAAACCTCGCTGCCCCACTTGACAACCTTATTCCACTGCTTTCTCGTGTGCCATACTTCCACGAGCCACATGGTCGGCCAGACGAGCATTAAGCGCGGTAACGAAAGGTCGTCGTAGACCTCTTTCTCATGAAGATTAGCGAGCTTGTTTGCTAGCTTCTCCACCTGCCGAATCGTTGCGTCGGGGTAGAACTTGGTTGGACGTTTTCTCCTGACCAGAGCCTCGATCTCCGCAAGAGCAGCGTTTCTCTTCTGATGCTGCTCCGCCGAGGACCCAGATTCACCGGCGCAGAGGGCGCAGCTACAGACAAACCCCCAGCTGCGGCGGAATTGCGGCATGCGAAGAAGGTACGCCGCCTTGGGAGGTAGGTAAATATGTGTAATTTCTGTGCCGGAAGGAATATCCATAGTAGCCGTAGCGATGAGCATGTCTCCGATGAAGGACCTGTTAGCATTGGGAAGGCACGCATGGTTGGCGTAGGCCGAATACACCCAGAGCCCGCGCGACATGCCCTGCTTCCACATGTTCCATTCCGGATTCGCAGACTGCGCCGATACCTGGGCGCCACTGAAGCAATTCTTGCGGCGGATAGACTCAAGAAGGAAGACATCGATGACTGGCCTGCCGCCTACGAGTGTGCCTTCTTGGCCGGTGCGCTTGTAGGACCCTCCGTGGAGGTCGAGAATCTTGTTGTGAATTGTTGGATTATCTGCGCAAAGCTCCACGAGCTGGGAATATGCTGCAGCTGCGTTGTGCTCTGGGTTAAATTCGTTGGGGACACTGGTTGCTCTTTCTGCGAAAATCATCTCCCCGGCCTCGATGTCTTCTGTGGCGAAGAGGCCGCGCCCATGATGCGGCGAGTCTCTGACTTCGGTGCGTGACAGGAAACTTGCTCTATCGATGTGAATGTTCTTCGAAGTGACGCTAGCTGTCATGTCTGCGAGATCGTAGTTGCCTTTTTCCTCCTCGAGCCTTGCTATACACCTCTCATATTCCTTGCGGATGTTGCCTGCCTCGGGTTTGAGCACTAAAGCCGATTCAAAGTATTGCTTGCTAGTCTGGAAATCCGTGAGTTCATAAGCTGCTTTACCCGCAATGAAATGAGGTCTCCAGTCTGAAGATGCACCTCTCGAGGAGAGGGCATCTGATAGTGCCCTGTCAAAGCATTTGAGGGTAAGATTGATGCCTGCTCGTTTTAACAGAACATCAACACGAAAGGAGGTGTCCCCTTCTAGCTCCAACTCCAGAGCTCTGGTATAACTACAATCTCGTGTCAGCATGCATCCGGCCTAAGAAAGGAAGTGTTGGTAGATCTTACTTCGCAGCTGCCAATGGAAGATTCTTGGAAATAAAGGCTCGATCCCCAGCAGCCTTCCAGTCCGCTGCAGTCTCGAACTCGGGCACCTTCCTGAAGATCTCTGGGATCAGCGCATCATCCGGACCTTGTCGAAGAAGCACAATGTCCGAGGGATGGTCTATGCAGAGCATGAAGTCGGTATCACCGCTGTAGCGGTAGTACGGTTCTTTTACAATGACCACCGAGCCTTTCGGGATAGACTGTAAAACTGTAGAGTTGCCCTGATTATAAAGCGCCATCTTATCAACGTTGCCATACTGATCTTCGACGATAGTAATGGTCCCGGCACCAGCGTATGGTTGAACGATTGTCCTGAGAACGACGTATTTGTCCTCATGATGATTTTCCACCAGAAGCTCGTCAAGGCGCATCTGAATATGGTTAAGCGATTGCGATTCTTGCGGAAATGCCTCTACGTACCAGCGAGAGATCCACCACAGACTTGACAGACGGCGGATATGAAAGTGCCAACACGACCTTCTTCACCATTCGCGGTCCATTCTGCTGTCCTGACTTTTGTTGCTGCTCAACGTAGTCGTTGTGCGTGCTGATGAGCACTTCTCTCGATATGCGCGTTGGAGGGGGCTTTCCGGAGTGGGCCTCGGCCTTCTGTAAGAATTCTAGAGAGACGTCGGGATCAACATCGGTGAGAATCTCTTCGACGCCAATTTGGAGGTTAAAATCGATGGTGTTGAGTGTTGGGTGCGTGGGATTTGATGTATCGGTGTCACCATCTGCGTCTCGCTTGTGTCTTTGATCTAAACCCATGGTGGCTGTAGACAAACTTCAGGATATTGACGTTCCGTCGGTCGACCGAGGAAAATTCCACTGCGCTCGGAGACCTTGGTATCTCTTGAGGAAATGTAGGCTTGTGGGGGTTTGAGAGAAATTATGCCGGACTAGAGCATGAGAAGGTCAAGTTTGGTTTGTAGGGGGTCCTCATCAGCTCCAAATGCAGACGGAGTCAGCTTTAAATGTCTTGATAGAAACCCAGAGAACAGGGGATACACTCACAAATGGCCCTCTGATGTAGGTGTCATCTTGACGGGCTCCGTTGGTCTCTGTTACCAATTGGGCCCGGCAATGCGGGAGCAAGGGCGATGTGTCTTGGACACCGACCCCGATTCAGGCAAAGACCTATTATGGCACCAATGACAAACGGCCCCATAACGTCTGGACTCGGGATGCCGTTCCGAATGGGCGTGGTTCTCGGAGGGTGTCAGTCCGCATTTTCCGCAACATCAAGGGTACGACTGGATAAGCGAGCCCAGATCTCGTTTGGAACCGCCTTCACCCTATTGGTAGTTAGTCAATAAAGTAAGTCAGGCCTTTTATTGGCAAATGCATAGCTGGAAGAGCCGCAATAAAGACATCAACTGTGCCTTGTTTGTGTAACGAATCGTGGCCGGGGAACGAATCAGTTACGGAGAAAGTCTTCAATTAATTCCCTGAACATATTTTTAAGGAAACCTGAAAACAAACGACGTGATCAGCTCATACAGTTGCAACATTCCGGCCGCCACAATTCTTGGCTCCACACTTCCTATCGTCTCAATGCCAGTCGCGTCAAAAGTATCTACATGGCCCACGACAGAAGCGTGTCCACATGTTCGCACATACGCCCGTTGTTTCGAGAATATTCTCACAAGGATCGCACCTTCCATCAGAAGGAAATCATTCGACGAGGATCGAGAATTTTTCCAACATTCTGCTGCACTGCCTTGAAGCGCATATAGCCACAGGACTCGCTTTCGAGATGGTTGATGGCCGCCGCGAGGGTGGTGAACTCACGACCGCACTGACGATTCGGGCAGTGATAGAGCTTTCGCTGATGAACGGGAGAGTTGAGATGCTGGTTAAGACCAATCAGAGATGAGAAGGCACGGTGACAGAGATAACACTCGTATGCGTCGATATCGTAGTTATATGTTCGCTCGGTAGCTGTGAAGGTGGGAGATCCGTGCCACTCTAGGAGCTTCTTGGAGATGACTCCGTTTGGGTCGCGTGCGCGCACGGCCTGGTAGAGCTTATCGCGGTCCAGAGGGGCGTTGGGACACGCACCCCGCTCGAGGTGGTGGATAAGACCAGTGGCAGTGTTACTGGTCTGCTTGCAGAAGGGGCACTGGATGTCGCCGGTACTGCGATGAACCCTGGAGTTCAAGTGCTAATCACGATTACTTGGGCTGTTAGAAAAGAGGATGGACGAGATTGACTCACCTGCCGGATGTTGTTTTGGTTGTTGAAATAGCGGTTGCAAGGCTCGCAGTAGTCGTGTTCCTCAACCTCGTGGTCGCGGAGACTCTGCTCGTTGTGGAACCAATCGTTACAATCGTTGCAATCATATCGACGGCTATAATACTGGGGTGTATTGTGATAACCCCAATGGCCCAGTGCATCCATGTGTTGCTGGACTGCATGCTCGCTGCGAAAGCCGCGATCGCAGATGTTGCACTCCCAGTAGTTGTACATCACGATGCTGCGTCTGGCAACGACAACAAGGTGCTCGATGTCTCCCTGTCTAGGTGCCGGGAGAGTTTGCGAAAATGCGTCGGATTGGTGGGAAGAACAGCTGTGAAGCTGAAGGGGGTGAGTGATACCAAGGAGCGATGTCGGAGATCACGGAAGGCCTCGGGCTGGTTCGAACAGAGGAAGCACTCGCTCGAGACGGAAAAGAAGTGAGAGATCAGTGTGTTGGTGTGTTGGTGAACTGAAGAAAAGAATAACGTGCTGGCTGCGTGAAGAAGTTGTGAAGTTGTGACGGGTTGACGTGAGCTGAGGCGGGGAGATTGGGGCGGAAGGTGAGGTGCGCCCGTATGTCCGAGGTAAGATAGTGCAGGAAGGAGTCGAAGTGAGGTAGGAAGGTGCGGACCGAGTGGACTGGGACCCTGAGGAAGGTGCGATACATTGGCGAGTGCCGTGACTGCCTCACGTCGTTGCTTTCTCTTCTTGGGGGTTACCTAAGCAAAAGATACTTTAACACGCGATGCAGGGGTTATGACAGCCCCGATGCCACGCTATTTTGTAAGATACGCCGTTACGTTGGTGGTCAGTGAGAAGAGTTCCACGCCCCTGTAAAGTATCTGCGGACTAATAAATCATTTGGACAATTTGTTCGCAAGGGAGGTCGAGGCAAGAACACGATTTAGTTGACGTTGACCAATGAACCGCAAAGCTAATGTCAAATGCCTTGGGTGTGTGACGCAGGGAAGAAGCTCACAGAAGCCAACTACTTTTAGGGGTAATAGGACGAATCACTGATCATTGCCCCCTAACTAGATGTATGCTCCCCGCGTGATACATATACAAGCTGCTCGTTTGATTGCTTGTGTCCCTCTTGCTAGCTCTCACTAACCCCCTTCGGGAGGAGTCCTGACCGCTAAACCCAAGCGAGCGCCTTTCTAACAACCTCATCCAGTTCTTCAGGCTCAACCTCGAGCAACTCATTATCTGCTCCGTCCAGGACAGATCTGCCGGCTCCATCCTCATACAGCTGAGCCACGAGAAATCCAACATATGCCCCTTTGTAGTCACCTTTCTGCAACTTGATGCTGCCTTGCCGCCTGGCTTCATCAGTGCTGACCGTGGCAGTATCCCATCTCTGGTTCGTCAGTCTCTCCAGCGCCTCGAGGATTGCTCGCTGTGAGGTTGTAAGAGCAGAAAGCCTGACATATCGGTTCTTTGTCTCCTCGGGACGCTTGAAGACTGCAGCGATTGGCTTGCCGATCTTTCCAATGCTCATAGCTGTGAAGGGCTCGTTGCCAGAGTCGTAAATCGTAGCTGAGTGGTTCTTGAGGTCGAAGCCAAAATCGGGAAACAAGGCCATAGACTGAGACATCCATTAGGGACTGAGACTCTGTGAAAATAACATGGTATAACACTGACCCGGTCCAGAAGAGGGCCATTCCAGAAAGAGGTCCAAGTGAAACTGTCATTTTCTTTCGCCCTCTCCTCTAGGAGAGCTTGTGCTTGTGCCTTCTTTCCCAGGATAGCGCGGTACTCCGGGACATCATTGGGTCCCTTGGGAGTTCCAAAGTCACTCGGAATAAACCGCTTGACGCCGGCCTTTGCAGCAGCATTGATCAGATCAATCTGCTTGTCAAACACAGCGTGACCCAAGACGCATAGTACGGCGTCTTGCCCTTTCAACACTTCGTGTAGAGACTGCGGACTAAAGTCGGTGGTGGCAATCTTCACCTGCGGTGGAAATGACTTTCCCTCATCTGAGTAAGTGATAACGGTCACCTTAAAGTTGGCTTCCAGTAGAGCTGGAAGAGCATAGCGCCCGATGCTACTGGTAGCCTGAATACGAATTGAGCGTTACGATGTCTGGGTCGATTATCGTTGTGAAAAAGGTATTAGTAAGAAGACTTACGCCGATCACCGCGACTTTCTTGATTGACGACATTGTCTGATGGTTGTAGTGGCGAGTTCTTTGTTCAAAGCTTCGGTATTCTCGAGGAGCAGGAATCTCATGTAAGCTGAACCTGAGCCATCATTTGTAGTAATAGGGGCTGGGTTTGTTTTTAAATGCATGGCAGTAAACTTAACAATTGCCAACACATACAAGAGGGTTAACGTTACTAGTCTCCCTATCCTCAATCGAGACCAAATGGATTTCTCAGCAGCTGCCTACCAGACAGAGTCGGAACACACTTTCTTGGTCCTACGTGAACTTTATTCCTGGGCAAAAAGGAGGTGAACCTGCGGACATATCTTTGGCCGCCGGAGTAGTCCGTTCGTACGGACTTTGTCTCGGACATCGGTCACCATTGTCCGTCTGCGAATGCCGCGTCCTTGACTAGATCCTCAAGCAAAAGCGATGTCTGATTCATAAGCAATAACAGTCGCTGCAATAACGTTTCTTCCCCTCTTTCGAGGTCACAGCATGCAATATTTGACTACTTTGGTATCTTATTCTCTTGTTAATTGCTTTGTCAGCAACGCTGGGAAAAACCTCCGGCATCGGTAGTCTGACGCAGAGGAAGCGCTCAACCGATCACTAGGATGCTGTCATTTCTCTAGAACATGATACCTTTAAGAACTATCGTTATGAACAAGATGCGATAAGAGATTAAGTAAATTTCCCATTCGTGAGAAAATACTAAGTAGTTGTGCTGCCTGTGAGATAATTATCCAGTGCCTAAAGTACCTTATATCTCGATCATTGACAAAAGCCCTACCAGCCTAAATCGAAGCATGTTCCAAGCCACAGGGAGGCTTGGTGTTGGTGCTCAGTTGGTGGCGGGCACTCTCAGCGCCACAAACGATTGGCGTCCGTGCGCCAATCTTTAGACAGTTGCCTCGCTTGTACTGTCCAAGTGTTTGATATCGTCACTAGAAGGAAAAGTTCTATATGGAAAACGCCATGATGAATCTAAGCGATACAGATCAAAGCACCTGAGCGGAGGGCGGATTTTGGACCGCAACACGGGCATTTGCTTACAGTAAGCCTAATCGGTATTTGATCTACTTACACATACCCTGGACGAGAATCGAATAAAGAGTCTCGAAGCATGCTTGAAAGTAGGCCATATATGTATCGGGAGAAGTATGGTACATTTGCAGAGATATATTTGATCAACGACAATCACTTCTCAAATGTGGCAAAACAAGGAATTTCAATACATGGTTGGAAGCTTTTTTTATCTTTACATTAAACGTAGTGCAATCCCAGTAACACCCGGTATAATGTAACACCGTCGATGCATGCCGTAGCATTATTTCATCCTGCGGTGATGATGAAGACTGCTGTATCAGGAAGACATGTGATAAGGTAGTACTGTCAATGTCAACACTAGGATTGCCATCCTTCAACGACGGTAGGTGTCGAGTCTGAAGGGTACACCGTAATAATCCGGCAAGGCACAAGTCGACTTTGGCTCAAGTGCAAAGCAACTGACAGATCGTGGTCTGTCCGGCTCACTGGCAAGGCAGAAAAGTCGCTTGTATCCGCCGTTATTGGTGATGCTCAATGCAGGAATGGTGAGAGACATGTCGCCAGGCGGTACTGTTGCGGTGTACTTCTTGGAGGCGCTGTCAAAGTTGACTGCCACGCTGTATTCTTTGTCTTTATCGGTGGTGATACTGTCGGACTGGCATCGTGATTGGGCAACGACAGCCAAGGGGAGGCTGAGAAGGAAGCCCAGGGTTGGAATAATAGAGATATGCATTTTGGCTTGTCTGTAGAGTCTCGAGTGATGATGGGCGAGAGTTGACTGTGGTTGTTTTGAGTAAACTTTTCAACTTCTAGTGAGTTATAAATCGTCACTCATCTAAATACTGATTCATCTTCCACAACGGTTCCACATGTTCCATTGTTGCACGGCAGTGTTAGCCCCTGAGGTGTTTGGACTAATATGACTTGAACTCTATATTGATTAAAGTTCCTCGAAACGACGTTGATCAACACAGCGCACTGACGGCGTTCCCGGTACAAAATTCGACTGCCCACCAGCCGAACCCGTAAGTCCATGATCAATGCTGTCGCGGACGAGTCATGGTGCCTATGTTAACGATTGGGACACTTCACGGCCCGCGGCATTCCGAAGTCATACGACGGAGTAATTAGTCCTGGATTTAATCCGCCTCATTTAATCGGGAGTGGGTATACCGGGTCGAGCGGCGGGCAGTTCACACGAGTCCTGGGAACACCGCTCGGTCACCAGATTGTCGCACTAGAACAACTCCTTAAATCGCAATTCGCAACTCGCAACTCGCAACGCTTTTAGTGGTCAGGAAGCGTTGCATGGTTAGCATTGTTTCAGCAGATAGCTGCGTCAAAGACTTGTTATACCTTCAGCCCTGAAAATATCTACATGTAGGTTTCTGGAACCATTAGTTCGGTAGGTGGGAATATTTGCCGAGGCCCAGCTTCAACCAGTTCGGCCGTGTGACAATTATTTCGCTGCTTAGTTGAGCAAATCACTTTACGCGTTGTTGCGTCAACTGGTTCCACCCAAACAGTTCTTGGCTGACACGTTCATTTCTTCTGGGGAGGGCGATTGGCGAGAGAGAAACCAAATTTCAGAAGCACGTTGAACTTGCAGCTGCATCTGTCAGGATTTCAACCGAGTCAACGGGGAATTGTTGGCCGATGAGCCGTAATTCCGATGTTCGATGTCTCTCCGGACGTTTCCGGACACCATGAGGCTCGAGTACATGGCTAAAGTGTCATAGAAACACTGCAGATCGATCGGATCGGTAGTACTTCTAGAACCCACGCATGGTCCCGACACCAAACATGCCCGGATGAACCCAGCCACCATCGGTCGACATATCATTTCTGTCCCGCATACGGAACCGAAAGTGGAGACCAAGGTTCCGGCTCCCGAGGCACGCTCGCCCGGGGCGGTATGAACGCCAAAGCCTTTGCAATGTCTAGCATGTGGTCTCTCATGGTTCTCATTCGAGATTGGCCATGTTCCTCTCTTCTCCCAGTCTCCAAGAAAGCAAGCGGGAGACGCCAGTGGCAATTACCTACCCTGAGGACTGCACAGAGGCACCAAATGCTTCGAGGCATGGAAGATCAAACGGGCCAACCAATGTATGAATGTTGTTCTTCCAACCCGCGGCGCTCACATGCAGTTGCAGTCCCCCTGAGTCTCCCATCTACCGCTGTGGCTTGAAGGCACTGCCTCGCTTAACACTTTGGCTGACGCTATATTGAATTGGCTTTCTTGCAGTCTTTAAGTAGGTATGCCCAAGGGGCGCGCACGCGCGTCAGGAGTGCCATCGGCACAGACAGCCAGGCTTTGCCTGTGGCGCCAATAAAGATGCATCCCAGGCGCGGATGGGTGTCTCCGCCATCTAGCCGTCCCCCATCATCCTATAGGAACCTGTTCCTTCAATCCGTTGCTAGGCATAGTGATGACGGTCCCAGATTGCCGTGATTGAGCCTTCCCCAAGCGACGGTACTGTGATTAAGCGCGATCCCTCATCCGGCAATCTTGAAGACAAGAACGCATCCGTGCGTAGGCCCAGATCGACAGTCTAGACCTCCTCTAGCTAGCAGGACGACGAACAATGAAATGTCAAGCCACGACAGGCCTGGCCTTGCAAGAGGGCTGATGCTGCGTTGCGGCCCCTGCATCTGCCGTGGTGCCCTCGATGCGAGCTTGGAGACGTCGTCCTTTCAATGATGAAAAGCTGGCTGAACAGCAAGTTGTGGCGTTGGTCCGTCATCTACGCTTCCCCTCCTGTCGATCGCTGGAGACGTTCTTTAAATCAATCCTCGATCCAGTATCTTTACCTTGTTCCTGGATTCATTGTTGTTCAACGGTTCCTGACGGGAAAACTCTGGAAAGCCTGCGTCTCCTTGAGCCTCAGCTCGCCAAGACAAGAGTTCTTGAAGATGCATCCGTTCCGCATCGCCTCTTTCCTGCTGTTCAGCCTCTGCGGCCTTGGGGTGGCTGCCAAGTCACTCAGCTTGGAAGGCATTCCCAGTTGCGCTGTAAGCCATGATACCACATCATAAGACTTGCCAAGATATCATCTCGCTGACTACTATTCATCCCAGATCACTTGCATGGTCAAAGCCCTTCCCTCAACGACCTGCTCTCCTACAGACCAAGCATGTCTTTGCGTCGATTCCAAGTTCAACGCCGCGGTGCAGCCTTGTATTCAATCAGCATGCACAATCCAAGAGAGCCTGGGTGAGTCATGGAGAAATGTTTCTTCAACAACGTGGTAAGGCTGACGGGGTGATAGTTGTTACTGATGCAACATGGTCCAATTGCGGTTTCCCGTACAGTGATCAAACTTCCAACATTCATTTGATCAGCGGAGTTGTTACTGCCATCGGTGTCATCTTCATTTTGATGAGGATGGCTACCAAGATCGCGAAGCTCTCTGCCTGGGGCGCTGACGACACAGTCATCCTCGTTGCTTTTGTGAGCTACGGCAGTTACTCTTCTTGCTTTTCAACTCCTCTGACTGTTTTTAGGCGTTGTTCATCGGTTTTTTTGTGGAATTGTTTTACTGTGAGTTGTCCACGATCAGAGAGAGTCACCGAGTGCTCAGGATTAACATGTTTGCAGTCGTAAAGGCAGGACTTGGCAAAGACATTTGGACACCACATGACTACGAGATTACTTATTTTCTCAAGGTAAGTCGCATTTGCTTCTCGGACTGCGCTTGACAGTATACTAAGAAAGTCACAGCTCCTCTTCGTCCTCGAGTTCTTCTACATCATCGGCCTCGGCGTAGTCAAGGCGTCTATCCTTTTCTTCTTCTTGAAGATCTTCCCTGACCGAGGCTTTCGTCGCATCTTGTGGTTCATGCAAATACTCAATATGCTCGTCGTTCTATCCTACGTGATTCTATGCTTTGCACAATGCCAGCCGTTCTCGCACTTCTGGAATGGATGGGATGGTGCGCACGAAGGCCACTGCGTCGACTTGAACAGGA